AAACGATATACATAAAATTGTACATTCAAACATATATACACAGTACATGAACAATGATAAGCTCATTTTATATCTTCTAAATTGGATGTAATGTACAAATTAAACTAATGGAAATATAGGACAATAAATAAGTCAGTATACAAAGTTTAAAAGACGTAGTAATAACAATAACAAGGACATCTATAATAATGAAAATTACAGACGTTGGCTGATTATAACTTTTTCCAAATTCGTTCTAAAGACAGGCAAAGATGGTGATAATTTAACATGTAATGGTAGATTATTCCATAAATGTACACCTGAATATTGAAAAGAGTTTGTAAATAGGATTGTTCGATGCTTTGGTAATCGAAGATTATAATTCAATTCTGAACGCAATGAGTAGGAATCGGGACTGTGAAAAATAAAAAGTTCCTGGATATATTCTGGGCTCATACCACAAAAAGTTTTATACAATAAAATACATTTATAAAACGTAACTAACTCAAAAACATTTAACCATCCTAGTTTTTCAAACAAAGGCTTAGATGGATGGTCAGGTGCTGCATCAAGAATAATTCTAGCAGCACGTTTTTGAAGTTTATGGATTCTCTCGATGTTAGATTTGGACGTATTACCCCAGACTGTAAGACAATAGTTTATTGAAGGCAAAATGTATGCATTATAGAAGAGTTTTCTTGTACTTAATGGAAGAAATTTCTTAATTTTACGGAGCGTAAATAACTTGTATCTTAATGATTTACAAACTGTATCAACATGACAATTATACTGAAGAGATTGATCTATCTGAATACCTAGGAGTTTTTCAACTTCAACGTTTTCCAAGTTTTTGCCAGAAATTTTTGCATAAAGTACTGGGTTATTTAATCGTGATCTCTTTTGTTGGGTACACATAAGCATACATTTTGATTTGTCTGTGTTCAGTATCATTTGATTCTGTAAACACCAGTTTTCAATTTCACATAAATCAGAATTTAAATGTGTTTCAATAGTATGTACATTACTGTTAGGTAAATGCAGAGTTGCATCGTCTGCAAACATATCAATATTAGAGTAATTAACACATAAAGGAAGATCATTTATATACAATAAAAATAGGAGTGGGCCTAAAATGGATCCCTGTGGCACCCCTGCTGTGATAGGTAAGATATCGGAAGAACATGCGCCAATTTTAACACTTTGGGTCCTTTCGTTTAAATAAGACTGAAACCACTTAACTGCAAGTGAATCAAAATTATAATGGCGTAATTTCTCTATTAAGATATCATGACTGACTAAATCAAACGCCTTACTAAAATCTAGAAAAGCTATGCCAATTAAATTCCCTTGATCCATTGCATGCAACCAGTTATCGGTCAGTTTGGTTAGTGCTGTTTGGCAAGAGTGGAATTCCCTAAAACCAGACTGTGAGCTCATAATGAGGTCAAAGGCTCTTGTAAATTCACGTACTTGATTTGCAATATGCTTTTCAAAAATTTTTGACAAAGTTGGTAAAATAGATATTGGGCGGTAGTTACTGGGATCACTTTTATCGCCCTTCTTATAAATGGGGGTGACTTTAGCATGTTTCAGTTGGGAGGGGAAGATTCCATTACTAATGCTAGTATTAATGAGATGAGTTATGGGTTTAAAAATTACATTTGCAGAAAGTTTTAAGAGACGGGGACCAATGAAATCTACACCTGCTGATTTATTAATGTCAAGTGAGCGTAGCATAGTTAATACATCGTCCTGACTTATAGGAAGAAGGCTAAACACATTTTCATCATTGAGTTTGGACTTCGTGAATTCTTTTAACATTTGAGAATTAAAGCTATGGTTTTGTTTTTTAGTTAATAAATTGTCAGAAATTCTTGTGAAGTGCTCATTAAAAACATTTACGATTTGTTGTAAATCATCAATTTCTGATCCATTCTCTTTAATAAGAGTGGGGGAAATATTTTTTGACTTAGAAGCTAAATGATTGAGATAGCTCCACATTTCTCTAGGATTAGAGCTCTCCTCAATTTTTGATTTGTAATAAGTACATTTTGCATTATTAATCAAAAGTGTAACTCTATTTCTCCAATATCGAAAATTATCAAAGTCTTTTTGTTGATGATAGTAATCTCGTAAATGTCTAGCATCATTAATTTCTTGCGTTAACCATTTAGGGCGAGATTCGGTTTTTACACGTTTAGTTTTTACCTTAGCATGCTTATTGAGAATGGTATTAAACATGCTGTAGAAGTTTTCCAATATATCATTAGGATTTTGCAAATTTGTAAGAACATTAAAATTGGCACTTTGTAAATCGGAAAGAAAGTCTTCTTCATTAAAATTCTTAAAGTCTCTGTATTGAATTTCAGTGTGTTTTCCCTTACGCTGCATGCTGTTAGATTTACGGGTTGCACAAACAGGGTAATGGTCAGAGATAGCTATGGGTGGTACTTGAATTTCGCAGATGTTATCAGGTTGGGTAGTGTAAAAATGATCAATAAGGGTACATGAGGTGTTAGTAATTCTAGTAGGTATGGTAATTAGTTGAGTAAGTCCAAATTCTTCTAGAGCAGATGTCCAAGATTGAGGGGGGTCTTTAAGCAGATCTACATTAAAATCACCTGTAAGTATGATTTCTTGGTCATCACAGCAGGGGGCACAATTTATCTCTCTCGCTAGATCCTCCACCCAGCAGGAGGGTGCAGATGGTGGGCGGTATGCGGAACAATAAAGTATAGGTTTTGTGTTCTTTAAATTAATTTCTAACCATATTGTCTCAATGTTACTGATTTCTAAATCTTTTCGACGTTTGTAGGATAGATCATTTGAGATATAAATTACTATTCCACCGCCTGTCTTATTTTGTCTATCTTTTCTTTCTAGTATATAGCCATCTATACTCAAATCTGAATCACTAATATGGTCCTGTAAAAAAGTCTCACAAAGCCCCAGCACATCCATAGATCGTTCATTTTGTAACATTAATTTCAGTTCATCCAATTTTGGTACAAGATGACAAATATTAAAATTTCCAAAACGCAAACCCTTTTTGACAAGACCAAATCCGGTGTTCACCGGAGTACATTTATTTGTTATGCTTAAAGATTTGTTTGAATCAAGACTTTCACACGTAAGACTTTTGTTAATCTCATTTTTAGACATAGATATTTGCGTAGCTTTAAGGGAATTTCTTTCTTTTGAAGGTGCATATTTTACCCGAGGAATTTTAACGATGGGAGAATTTTTCACAGCACATATACATAATATTTTGTTACATTCTGAACATACAGTTTGGAGAGGTAAAAAATTATTTTGAAGACTTAAGGAATTAATTTCTGTATATTCGGCCTGACATTCGTTGCCCCTATTCTAGTATGGACAAAACTTTTGTTTATGTCCAGGTTCCCCACAATACCAACAGTCTACTTTGCTACCATGTCGGCAATTTCGGGATGAATGGCCTTGTTCCCCACAGTAGTAACAGGATGTAGACTTCCTGGACACGGGCGGAGGTTGCATCTGATTCTGCTTTAGAATTGGGACATGTTCGTTGTAAAGTTTCAGCAGAGAGGCGGTTCCTTTGTCTGACAAATGTATGCCGTCCTTCCAGTACAAAGAGGAATTCCAGTCATTAAAAATCCGACTAGATTTAAGAACTGTTGCACCGTATTCCTCACATACAAAGCGGATAATATCATTCACACCGGTGACCTCTGTATCTCTTCTTGGCATGACTTCAGACACGAAAACACGAATGTTTGAATTTCTTTTCCGTAGATCCGTTATTATTGCGGAAAAGTTTAGCCGGGCTTATTGCTCAAAGAGCAATTGCCGGCTTATGCGATCATGTTCAAGGCAGGATGTTGACCCCATAGTCGCCATTTTAAAGTTACATGCAAAAATATAGTTCTTACTCTCAACCGCTTTTGAGATAATACAAACGCTAAATAAAGCAACAAAAATAAAACGAAGTTTTATCTATATAAAATAACATTAGTAGTAATGACTTTGAAAACTTCATAAGTCAAAGAACATAGTTCATTAGCGTAAGGATTTTTGATATTCAGTGTTACCGTAGTTCTCTACACATACGAGGTAAAGCAGGAGAGGGAACCAGACTGGCCTGTTTGTTTACATTCAGCTGCAGTACCAGATTAATTCTGATTCTGACAAAATCGGACCGTGGTATTAGGTTTGAAAAACTCACTGTCAGTGTCTTATAATTTATATTGATAGGTTTTAAATAATTTTTTCATCAGAATATAAACGTGATTTATGTAAGAAATTCATTCTACTCTGTAAATGAGCCCGGCTCTCTGTACTTCTGAGTACTTTGATTATTTACCTCATTTCTGAAGCACAAGATCGAGTTTGTTTACATGACAGAGGAAATTCGGACGTGCACACAAGAAAGTATCGAAAAATAATAAATAACATGTTAATTTTACAAGATTTCTAATAGCGGGGAAGGGAATTATATGTAGTTCAACTTTAAACAAACTATTGTTTATTTATTCATCCGTTTTATTAAATTATGAATAAAAAATCTAGTTGTATCAAGCATGGAGGTCAAGGCACAGAATACGCTAACTTTGGGAGAGAAAGAGTATCGATTTTTGCAATAAACATATACTTTTTCGCAATACAATCTCTTTAAACATCTTTAATCTATCAAAATTGAGTACATACAGAGCTACGAAATAATCAATCACTTTGCACGAGCATATTTTGTGGACCACACGTTTTTCCGTGAAAACGGCATTTTTTTTTAAGTGTCTGCGCATGCACGTACCCCCGTTTGAGGGTACGGTTTTCCTACTTCCGTTTACCCCCGTTTGAGGGTTCGACTAGACTGATCATTCTGCTCAGAATTGTGCTAATTGCCATTGTTATATTTCATTATTTATATTTTACATGTATCATTGTTAATCAGTTAACTCACGGCCAGGAACACGTTAAGTTCCAAGACAGTACCGTTGTCAGAAACCTTAAAAGTTAAGCACTGAAAATGGCTCGTTGTCATGAAAATACAGGTAAGGTTATGACAAAAACTGTCCGGTGTCATTACTTGAGAAGACAGGTCGTGAGCAATGTTTCATTTTTTAAGTTAAATAATTTCAACCAATGTCGGAAATTGCAATGGGGAGCAGGACTGACACCCCTTTTAGTGTTGTATCAATTTCAGCCGTTAAAATGAAGTAATAAAAGAGGAGTTTGCGTTGGCAATCACATGCCCGTGTGTGAAGTCATGATCGTCAGCCTGAAAATTTAATATTTCTTACGTAAAATTTATCAAAATGGTCCTTTTATTTTGAAATATGAAGAAAAAACTAATTTTACATGTGTTAGGTAATTGACGGCCTATTCATGATAGCAGGCTTTAAGAAATCGCAATTTATAAGCAAAATGTCCGTTGTCAGTACATGTTAAGTTTTTCTAGTCCGGTGTCTTTTTCTTAACATATAAGTTTATCAATAAAACAGTCTGACTAAAGCCAGTCCCTACTATTTTACTTTGTTAGAAGTGAAATAGTAGGGGCTGGTTTTATTCAGACTGATCAATAAATACGTAGATAACCAAAATGATCAAATGTATATGTACTCTTAAGAAAGAGAAAGCATATTGCAGAAAATTTTGAATCTTTTGGATTCTTAGGAGAAGTGTATATACGCCAACGTGCTAACCATTCTGTGATGTTTTTTAGTCAATTCATTCTCATTCTTGAGTGCAAACGTACCGTATATCCGGTTTTTTTTCGCGTGTTGGAAATTTTGCGAAAAAGGGGTAAATTGGTACAGTTTTTATTTTGCGTAAGTTATTTTTTACTATTAAAGATTTTTTGTTTAAAATGGTAATGTTTTTATGTCACATTTTAGCTGATATAATTTCTGCGTGTTTTTTATTTTGCGAATTAAAAATGGTCGCAAAAAATGCAAAAAATAGATCACCGCGAAAAAAACCGGATATACGGTATAACAATTCCTGAAATATTATCAGTAAAACAAAGATAAAATGTTAGATATACACGTACTTTAAAATACAGAAGTCTTTTATACGTATTAAATTATTGACAAACAAGTTGTTGAAACAAGAATATCAAAAGTCTTGTTTTATAAAAGTCATAATTTCAAAAGTTCCTTGGTCGAAGCAATGATCTTGTAAGCAAATACAGTTTATCATAGAGTCAAATGCTGACTGACGTTTTTCAAAGTAATTGTTAGGCCATTTTTTACACACTGAATTGTCGACGGATTTTTCCCGGTATATTTCCCGATCAAGACAAGGAGCACACAGTGGGTGTAAACGGTAGACAGTGGATGCTCATTCCTTAAAGAAGTTTTTGAATAGACAAAGAATTTTATTCAGAAAGAAGAGAAATATAAATCAATGATTGGAATCTTTTACTTTGACATATAGCTCTTAAATTAATTTGCATAAAATCTTTGAATATTCCTCAAAGATTAATATAATGTATATAACATATAATAATAGAATAATACAATATATTTGAATATATATGGTTTTTCCGCCTACCGCCAAGTAAATTTTCAAATGTTAACATATTCGAAGTACGAGAGGTGAACAAAAAGTTCGCGAACTATCTCTATATTTACAAGACCGCAATTCAGATCAGAATGAAATTTGGCACACATAGAGTCATACACATGTTCTATAAATAGCATATTAAGTATTACGTTTTGCCCCGTGTTTGTGACGTCACAATGTGAAAATGACGTCATAAGGTAGATCACTTGTGACAAAAAATGGTTGAATCAGTCGTATTCGAGAAAAGAACGGCTGTAAAGTTAAACGTATATCTTAGAAATTTCTTCGTAGAAGTTTATAATTATTCGCACACGGTTTATGAAGACAAAAGACTTGCCATAAGTTTTGTCATTAATTCGATTGATTGTTTAAGTGAAGGATGGGAGATGTTTAAAAATGACGTCTGTTCTGTTGCCCGGTGAAAGCAAACTGGGAGAGAGACGTGTCCTTTGTAAAACTATTTGATTTGAAAGATCGCCAAATTACAGTTAGATAAATAGACGAATATCTTTACAATAATATAATTATCAAATCCCTAAAATATCGTTTACTTTAGACTTTAAACATATCAGATATGATAAAGTGAAGGTACCCATACTTTATCCACATGAAATAAACGACACTCAAAAGACAGAGGACTTGGGTTTTGATGGTCACCATGCTCATTCTGCAGAAGGATATCATTATCCACCCAAACTATTGCAGAGATTAGGCCATTTCTGACAAATGGACTGTTTTTGTTGCAAAAAATAACTTGCATGGTAAGAAATATAAGAGTCCGAAAAAATGTTAAGCTTCTGTGACACACCGATAAAGAGCATGTCACGTGATCGCCTTTATCACGTGATCCGCGAATGGACAAAATGGTTGCAGATGCGCATTAAAATAGGAGAGGAATACTTTGAAACATTTTCAACACTGAAACCCCATATCATTTCTTTTTCGGAAGTTTTTCAATTAGTTCGCGAACTTTTTGATCACCCCTCGTATTTCTAATATTTTTTATATATATAATTATATAATTTTTCATAAAATATTACTTTTTGGGGAAAACAAAGAGAGATAACTATAAAAATATGGTAAAACTTTTGTTTTTCACAATAGAAATCAACGGAAAACGGAAAATACTTTTTCCCTTCGGGAAACAAAAAATCTTTTTTACAGGTAATATGGACTGTTTATGTTTATACTTTATAGACACAAAACTTCAAAAAAATATATATATTATCACAGATAATTCAATTTATGCCGCTATGAGAAATCTATTAAATTTTCCACCGTCGGATAGTTACCATGGTTACGGATTTTTTTTTAGTCCATTAAAATCTTTGTTTTTTTTTGGCCATTTCTGTTACCCTGTTAGTGCGATGGAAAAAAAACCCTCCACCCACCTTTTTTATGAGATCATTTTTGTATTATTTTGCATTCTGGTCAAAAATGTATTTTATACTAGTAACTGGTTATCTGGGATTGGTGCAATTGTTTGGATGCCTACAAGGATTGACTCATTTTTGTTATATTTTATGCATATTTACATGTAATCTGAAATTTTCACCGAATGTAAATTTCTAGTTAGTTTCAGGGGGATCACACTTGTACCTTTCGTCCACCTATGTTAATGTTTTATTCTGTTTTGTTTAATATCAGGTGATCCCCCTTAATGGTTTGTTATACATTTTACTTTATGCCATTCAAGTAAATGACATAATCGACAAAACTGCATATCTGTGTTTGGCTATTTTTTACTGCACTGTCAGGCTGATATCTCTCATAGGAGGCATAAATGCTTATTTTTTCACCAATTTCGAAGCGATTTACAACTGAAACATTACATTCTATTAATATATTTATTTTTATACATGTAATATCTCTGCCGAAAACATAAGAAAAGATAATAGGAACATTTAATCATATCCAAGACTATTTCAAAATATGGTGATCTTTTTAATGGAGAATATCGTCTACATCCCCCTTTTTAAAAAAAAAAAATGGAAATAGGATAATTCACTATTTAGCGCTGGTATTAAAACAATTCATCAATTACCATTGAAATGTTCTTTGTATCAAAAACGATTTTATGGCCAAATTGCCATTAATATTGAATAAATTGAGTGCAATATGTAGGCGGGAATCGAGAGCTAGCTTGCGTATTTCTTCCTTGACTTTGAAATCAGTTTTTTAAGGAAAAATACTGAAGCCCTTATGTATGACAAACACAAGCTGACCATTATATGAAATATAGAAAATAGCATACATTTAGTTTCTTATGACTAATTAGTTTACCCATTTATTAAAGGTATGCTTGAAATATCAAAGCATAAAAAAATCTAAAATCGACCTCCTTCACAGTGTATACGTAAAGTAAAGTTGTGACAACGGACCGATGACAACGGACTGAATTTTCGTATCTTGGTATGACAACGGACATAACTTGTAATAAATCAAAATTTTCAGTTTTAATTTGTTCAATTTTTTTCTGTAAAGGCTTATAACATGTCTTTCTACTGACTGCATCAATTGGTATACATACAATATTCTATTTACAAAAAATATAACATCCCAGAAGGAAAATGAATGAAATCCACATTTGATTTCACCAGGGTTTAATATCGCCAACGCAAACTCCTCTTTTTACTTCATTTTAACGGCTGAAATTCATACAACACCAAAAGGATTGTCAGTCCTGTTCCACATTGCAATATCCGACATTGGTTGAAATTATTTAACTTTAAAAATTAAAAACTGCTCACGACCTGTCTTCTCAAGTAATGACACCGGACAGTTTTTGTCATAACCTTACCTGCATTTTCATGACGAGCCATTTTCAGTGCTTAACTTTTAAGGTTTCTGACAACGGTACTGTCTTGGAACTTAACGTGTTCCTGGCCGTGTATATGCCTTACATGTAAATAAAGTACACTTGGATTTCCGCGGAAAATTTGTGACCGCGTAGATAGCGTAAATTAATATCACGCGGAAAAAGGACTTCTACAGTATTTATAAAGCTTTAATTGTTTCAAAAAATATACAGAAATCTATGAAAGACATTTTCTTCATAAAAATACACACATATCTTTAAAAATTTATTTTATGGTTTAGTAGCTAAAACAGTTCTTTTGATTTCTTGTTGTATTTTCCCCTCAGATTTTTCGTTTGGCAGCACCGCCAGGACGATTAGCAACATCGGTGTTCCGACTTCAACTACACATGTTAACAGGGGCACCCATTGCTATACTTTTTCCTGTAATAAATACTCGATTGGTAAGGTTTTCTTATGGTTTGGAAATTCATTGCTCAGAGAAAAACAAACCTACATGTATGTATAAGTCTCCTAACTGCTAAAGCTTTCTTGCCAAACTTTTTAGAATTCACAGTATTGTTCTTCATTCCTAAATTTAAAAACCGTAAAGCATAAAGTATCTATAAAAAAAATTGAATTATTTTATAGTCGTACAAATAGACACATTTTGCATTACAGTCCTCCTTTGTAATACATATTAACAAATCATGATTGTATTTTACAGTTGCCATTTGAGACAGAAGTATACTATATACAACATTTGCTGATGCTAGTCATTCCATTCTACTTACTCAAAATCGGAGGTACACTATAATAATGCTGTTAACATTTAGCATTGTAAATTAATGATATCTAATAATAGATTTTTGAGATTTTTTATGTGAACTTTTTGTTTGACCTTTGTTCTAGGTTCTTATACTGCTGAGCCTGTGTTAGACTTTAGCTGGGCTTTAGTGTCTATGGGAATCCTGTACATCATATACTTTGTACCAGTGCAGTACCTGGCCTATGTATGTACTTTATTTATAGTTTTGTTTTTACTGTTATTTCCATCCTCCATTTTGTCTTGCTTGTCCCCAGAATCTCTATTTTTCTTTTTTCTTTCTTCTCTCTTTCTTAAATTCGTAATTGTGACATAAAAAACTTTGAAAGTTAACCAAAAAAATTTGGGGGGGGGCATAGTTATTACATGTATAAAGAAATGTAAATTTATTATTGTTCTGCCCCTCATTGAAGAAAGGAAAGCATTCTTCTTTGTTGCTGTCAGTTGGTTGGTTAGTTTGTAGGCCCACCAACAGTTTACGTTGAAATTTGGTATACAGAATTCACATAAGAATATCTAAGTCAAGAACTGATTTGGGTACAATTGAACATTTTTTGACAGAGTCATTTTACTTGGACCAAGTGTATGTCGGGGGGGGGGCATAAATGTTTCACAAAGATCTTGTTTCATATTGGCCTTAATTGGGCAAAAATTAATTCAAACAGATGGCATTAAAAAAGATTTAAGAAGACAAAGCCTGAAAATGTGCAATAATCATATAAAACATCTTTCCAATCCATTTTTTCATTTTTAAAAATTCTAAGTTAAATTTTTCAGATATCAAAGGTGAACCTGAATAACATGCTTTGTCCAGCAGTATCAGACCCATTTCATGGACCATATTATCGAATCTGTGCAATTACGCATCAAGGACTTCTCATACCAACTCTGGGCAAGTTTTACACTTGGCTCTCAAACAAATTCCTCCGATCTTCAGTGAAGGTGGAGGAGGAGTTGGTATTTAAGATTGACTGGGCACTGGAACCTCCGCCTATTGACAATCTCAGCGGCAAGAACGGCGTCATTAGCCACCAGGACCACCAACCCAACCCCAATAACGGACATCTAAAGTCCTCCTGAAACAAACCTAACTTTAATTCTACAAAAAGGACTTTCCTTGGTGTCAATATTTCTTTATTTTAGATTGAATAATATTTGTGAATAGATGTGTTTCACAAATGTGAAAAATATGTTCTTTTTAACTAATGATATATTTTTTGCATTATTTATAGATTTCAGAATCTAGTTAACTAATTTTCTCTTAGTTGCTGTTTTTATTTTTACTGATTTGAAGGTTAACAATACAGAATATCGTGTGATAATGTTTTTAAGGTTCACACATGTGTGATCAAAATCTAGAGATCCTGTTTAGATTTAATACTGTTTTGTATTGCTTTAGTGCTTTAACAAGAATCTGGAAAGGAAAAGATTATTTTGACTTGTTAAGTTTCGTATTCTATAGTGCTTGACCCCAAATTTTGACATCTTTTTAAAATCCAAAAGAAATGTCCATAGTAAATTTACTAGATGTACGCAATTTACTAGAAAATTATTTTTCAGGCACTGGGAGAAGTCAATAAAAAGTTACACTCTCTCCTTAAAAAAAGAACAGAAAACTAAGTCATAGTTTCCTAGTTTCATTGTTATCACACTCTCTTATTAGACTGTGCTTCAATTTGAATGTGTACTTTTGCATGATTTACTTGCATGTAGAGTAATATTCAGTTCATTTCACTCTAGAAAGTGGAAACTATTTTCAGTATTACATATTGTAGAATTAATTTGAGTTTACACTGGTACATTTCCTAAATAAATTCTCCTCAGACAGAATTATATTTTACCATGTATTTATATTATGAATTATATGACATTGCATGATTTCAAAGGATGCCATTAATATTCATTCAAAACTAATACAAATATGTAATAATGATTGACTTAACATTTTGACTACATTTAATCAGTATTTCTGTAATAATTACATTTTTTGTTTCAGCATTATTTGACTACAAAGAACATCCAGGTATATTTCATTGCCTTTTAACTAAATACCAAAGCAAGATATTAGATTAATTGAAATTTTATTTTTCAAATTTCCTGAAGGAATTTAAGAAAAAATATGCTTATGTGCAGTAGCAACTTGTATTTATGAAACAGCATTAAAGATTTTAGATCTGTTCAGTCTTGTGCAATAAGTAGATCTATTTACCTAGCTTGCCTTTTTTGAATCATTTCTTATATTTTTCTGTGAAAAAAGGTTTTATCTCTTACATGATTTTTTTTCAAAAAAGGAAAAATTGTTTAATCACAAAAGTAGTTCTGTATAAAAGAAACATTCCATCATACTGTCATTGGGTAAATTATGATCCCCATTTTTTAAATATTCTGAATCTAATATTGAAATATTAATACTACAGGTACCACTTGATTCCCCTTGAGATTCCCATTGGCTAGATTGATAGTGTTCTAAAGGTTGTCTTTTTATACATTTGACTAGTCTCTATCAGCATAAAAGTCACTTGAATTTGAGATTATAGATAAATCAAAGAAATAATTGTTTTTAATGTTTTGTAGAGAATGTTTCTGATGCAATCTGCTTTCAGTCATTTGTAAAGAGCTTGATCAGTTTATTTAACCAGGTTTTATTGTATTTTAAATTATACATGTCTTTAGCCTCATCTTGAAATGTATACATATATTTAACTCAAATTTCAGGCAATGAAAGTAAAATAATTTAATTTCATTAAAAGTGATTGTTTTTAGACAGTTTTTCAGTGAGAAAGATTCCAAAATGAGATTAAAACTAAGTTTTGGTTTTTGTTTTTCAATATTTAGGGACTTGAACATTATTTCAATTTGTGTTAATTATTTTTGTTGTCTGTGATTTTAATAAATCTTTAAATCTGTATTCTAGGTGTCCCTTATTTATATATATAGTCATAATTATGTTTTATCTGTTTATAAATAATTTAAAAAGTATCAAAACATTTCCAAGTGATTATATGCCCTATGTTGACCAAACTTGCATGGATGACAGGTTTAAGTTTCTAGTTCAGCTTCATTTTTAAGTAACTAGGCCCATTGTTCATCAAACTTGCACAGCTGATACATCTAAGGATGGATTACGTCCTCTACAAATATTTGCATTTTTCAATTAAAATTTAATTGAAAATATCAATTTTTTGAAGGGGACAATGTATTTTACAGGACTTCAAATGCTGGATCCAACCTAGCTACATTTTCCAGATAATGGACCAGGTGAAAGGTTTGGATGCAGGCCCATTACCAAGATACTAGAAGGCCTGTTTGAACCAAATTTACATGGATAATGTATCAAGGGACGAACACTCTCAAATTTGTTTCAAATGCTGGACTGGATTTGAATGACTTTTTTTCTGGATGAGTGACACGTTTTAAGTTTTTGTACAGGTCGATTCCCAAGCAATTGCTAGCCCAATCAGATCAAAATTGCATTAAAATTGTATCTTGGGATGTACACTAGTAGCTAGATTATCAACTTAATGCGCAATTTGTGTTTATTTCAACATTCGATGAGGTGAGCTGTGTAATCTATGATTACCTATGATTTCACATTGGCTATAATTGGAAAAATTAAATATCTTTAAGGACATTCAGGTTTTACACATGGCTCTCAAACAAATTCCTCCGATCTTCAGTGAAGGGGGAGGAGGAGTTGGTGTTTAAGATTGACTAGGCCCTGGAACCTCCGCCTATTGACAATCTCAGCGGAAAGAATGGTGTCATCAACCACCAGCTGCAGGATCACCAACCCAACCCCAATAACGGACATCTAAAGTCCTCCTGAGACAAACCTAGCTTTAATTCTACATCAGCCACAAGGATCACCAACCCAACCCTAATAACGGACATCTGAAGACCTTCTGAGACAAACCTAGCTTTAATTCTACACCAGCCTCCAGGATCGCCAACAAAACCCCAATAACGGACATCTAAAGTCCCCCTGAAACAAACCTAGCTTTAATTCTACATCAGCCTCCAGGATCGCCAACAAAACCCCAATAACGGACATCTAAAGTCCCCCTGAAACAATCATATCTTTAATTCTACATCAGCCTCCAGGATCTCCAACAAAACCCCAATAACGGACATCTAAAGTCCCCCTGAAACAAACCTAGCTTTAATTCTACATCAGCCTCCAGGATCGCCAACAAAACCCCAATAACGGACATCTAAAGTCCCCCTGAAACAAACCTAGCTTTAATTCTACATCAGCCTCCAGGATCGCCAACAAAACCCAAATAACGGACATCTAAAATCCCCCTGAAACAAACCTAGCTTTAATTCTACATCAGCCTCCAGGATCGCCAACAAAACCCCAATAACGGACATCTAGAGTCCCCCTGAAACAAACCTAGCTTTAATTCTACATCAGCCTCCAGGATCGCCAACAAAACCCCAATAACGGACATCTAAAGTCCCCCTGAAACAAACCTAGCTTTAATTCTACATCAGCCACCAGAATCACTTACCCAACCGCCAATAACTTTTTAAAGGGGTACCAGAGAGGGGCATTTTTTTCTATTCTAACTATCCATCTTCATAGATATTTGCTCCCGAATTATATATTTAAAAAACTTTTTAAAAATCTTATTTATCAGCAGTTCAAACGATCTTAGACTACTAAGTATTTGAAAAACATTTAGAAGGATTTTTTCTAACACTTTGGTAACTAGATTCTACGAAATCTGTTACATGCGTTCTACTGCTTTTGGTATAAAAATATTTAAATGACTTTAATTTTAAAATTATTTTTTCAATTAAAAAAAGTTTAACTCTTTGTTGTTGTTTCCTCCGATTAATATTATAGTGATAACAAGCAAAAACTACCTTTTGAAATAAAATTGTTCAAAATTAAAAAGATAGATCAAGTTTACATTCGTGTCTTAATTTGACAAGAGAGAGATAGAGATCTTATATTTAATCCAGTTTATGGATGTAGAAATGAAACTTCAATGAAAAATCGAATTATTCAAGCAACAGAATATCGTGTAATGTAAAGAGATCTCTACTGTTTTAGGTGTACCTATTTATTTTCAGGAATATTAAAAAAAAGTTTAAAAGTATTATAGCTTCGAACATCTGCAGAATCCGGAAAAAATTTCCCATCTTCAACTTAATATTTTTTGACGATAAAAACCAGACGTCTGTGCTATTATCAATTTATTACTCGTTTTATTACTGAAATTATGATAATATCAGATATTGATTACTAGGTATAATACCCAACCTGCCGTTGAATAAGGTAAGAGAAATGATTTTATTTTTATAATTTATTGGTAAAATAATTCCCGTGATAAACATTAAATTAGAGAACAAATACAATGATCTAAAAAAAAAAAAACGCGAGAAGGGGAGGATTCTACACACTTCATCGCATAACAAATATTTTACATGACACCTCGTAAAATTCTGTCATTTTAAAAACTAAGCCAGTCAAGGAATATTGCGAATTTGTCGCATTTTACTGATTGTATGAATATCAAATTTCCTATTAAATTTTTACCCCCTAACGAAAAATTTCTATTAATTAATTTATATCATTCAAAACAACAAGGAATTTACCTGCATAATTATTATACCCCTCTTGAAAAGTCGGGGGGGGGGGGGGTATAGTGATCGGGATGTCCGTCCGTCCTTCTGTTATACCCACCGCTTATCCTCCTATACCATTGAATGAATTTTAATGAAACTTCACAGATTTTTTGTTACATAGTGCCATAAGATTGTACACCTCTGGTCCTATTTTACTTTTTGGTCCGTTGTATATTTCGGATTTCCCATGATTACAAAACATGGACAACGCTATTCTTTCTATAATATTGAAGGGTACCGGGCCATCTCTAACCCGCAACTCCTCCTATGCCATTGAATAAAATTTAAGGAAGTACTTTCACTTATTATTTATTATAAATCATGCCATTTTGCACTTTCTAATATATTTTTGGTTTAACACTGATTTCGTGTTTTGCCATTATAGTGCATGGTATGGTGTGTGTGTGTGGGGGGGGGGGGGGTATCATTTAGTGAGTTCAGTGTTCACAGTACTTCTAGTTGATAATTTACTATTTATATTTCTAATGTCTTTGTCAGAGATAAAATTACAAATAGTAAAAATACTCTTTTTCTACATAAATCTACTGGTTCATCGATAGGCGCCTTTCAAAAAAAAAAAATTACGCGCGGGCCGGGACAAATTAAGACAGAAGCGGGACCTACAGTAGCACATGATTTTGCGGGATCAAGATCATGTACTTGTAGATGTAAGGAAAAACTGTAAGATTTTTTCATGGCGATGAAAAATCAACTGCCTAGTGTGATAATTTTATGCGATGTAATTCTGCAAAATATCACGCTACCCACTCGATTGATCACAACATGAAACCAATAATTAGACAGTCACTCATAATTTAATCGAAAATTCTATTTCATATCATAATTTTAAAAAAAGACTACATAAATATTTTTCTTTTGAAATTTGGATTAATGTTTAAAAAAATGAAAATAAACACTAGTACATGTAGGTAGAATGGTTTTTAATAAATCAGTAATAAATTACCCGCTATTTGTATATACTTGGTATATATGTTCTACTTAAACTCTTCAGTTTTTACCCAAAAAACCCATTTTAATTGTGTACAGAGTATACAGTAATTAATTGCATTTCACAACTTTTTTCTGTCTTTATATTTAGAAAAAAAGAATTCACAAATGTTCACAACCCAGTTGCATCTTGTTCATTGTTGTTGCCGAGGACTTTTTTGAAATATTTCGGAGCATTTTCTTTCACATTTGGAAAGATTTATCGTTATACTGTATTAAAACAATAAAGTTTACAGCTTGACTTACGTGTATCGAGGGCCATGATATACAATAATTAAAACAGAAGATTATATAAGTAAAAAAAATTATTCTGGAAATACTCAGTGATATACATTCATTATCATTATTGACAATACAATGAAAAGTGAAAAACGTGTTCACTCTAAAAACTTTTGACGTTTGACGTTAGTGCGAAAGTAACAGGACGTCATTATTTACCTGTTAAAGTATCAGTGATGTAAATGAAGGAAAAACATACTTAGAGTTGACGAAGGGTCATAAAAATTCATATTTGGTAACTTCTAACCTTGCTCTATTATAATCCATGAAAAACTAAAAATGTGTAAAAATTGCCATAAGGACCTTTTCTCATGGGGCCAATCATGTGTTTCACAAAAGTGGAAAATATGTCCTTTATAACTAATGATAAAATTTTGCGTTCCTTATATGAATCGGGTCAACTAATTCCCCATTTTTTGCTGTTTTTATTTTTACGGATTTGGAGGTTAACAAAATAGAATATCTTATGATAATGTTAAGGTTCACACATGTGTGATCAAAAACTCAAGATCCTGTTGAGATATAATGCTGTTTTGTATTGCTTTAGTGTTTTAATAGGAATCTGGAAAGGAAAAGATTATTTTGACTTGTTAAGTTTCGTATTCTATAATGCTTGACCCCAAATTTGACTTCTTTTTGACTCCATCTCGCCAAATCAAAAACATTTCTATAATAGAAATTCTGCAGAATTTATGCATCAATTAGAAAAATTATCATTAAAATTATTGACATTCCAAACATTATGCAATACACAAAGAGTATATTTATATCTTCATTAAAACCATCCCAGATTAAAAAAAATACTCGACTGATTGGCAGCACTCAAATGTCTCACTGAAAGAGAGCAACCTTGTCACCTATTATTTCTTTAACATAATTATAGACTTGAAAAGATATCTAGTTTTATTAAAGCCCAATGACAGAAAGCCAGTTTGTGGATAAAGTGTATCAGCACACAGACTCTTCATAAAATCGGGCTGATATAATCACACCTAGAACAGAAGGAATACATAAAAGTTGTACGCTTTAACAAATGGAAGATGCAGAGCTTTTCCTTATTCACTTCATTTACAAATGAACAGGGGACCTATTTAATTTTTATATCATCTAAAGAAAAATATCTTATAAATCGCATGATGAACAATTATTATTTTGGATTCTAAATTGTGAAAAATAGACAAATATAATAAATTGTCTTGGAAAAATTTTACAAAAAGGCAATACCATAAGTTTTTCCACAAAAATTAAATCGATTAATAAAGTGCAACTTATATTTATTTAGTTAATAAATATTGACATTAGCACTAACTAGTTCTACTAAATATTGTACAATATCAGTGTGTCCATTCTCTGATGCTATCAACAAAGGTGTAACATTTTCATCATCATAAATATTGACATCAGCACCGTGTTCTACTAAATATTTAACTATCTCAGTGTGTCCATTTTGTGATGCTATATACAGCGGTGTAACATTTTCATCATTATAAATATTGACATCAGCACCGTGTTCTACTAAATATTTAACTATCTCAGTGTGTCCATTTTGTGATGCTATATACAGCGGTGTAACATTTTCATCATTATAAATGTTGACATCAGAACCGTGTTCTAATAAATATTTAACTATCTCAGTGTGTCCATTATGTGATGCACTCCACAGTGGTGTAACATTTTCATCATCATAAATATTGACATCAGCACCGTGTTCTACTAAATATTTAACTATCTCAGTGTGTCCATTATGTGATGCTATCCAAAGCGGTGTAACATTTTCATCATCATAAATATTGACATCAGCACCGTGTTCTACTAAATATTTAACTATCTCAGTGTGTCCATTTTGTGATGCTATACAAAGCGGTGTAACATTTTCATCATCATAAATATTGACATCTGACAGCACCGTGTTCTACTAAATATTTAACTATCTCAGTGTGTCCCTCTTGTGATGCTATATACAGCGGTGTAACATTTCTGACATTATAAATATTGACATCAGCACCGTGTTCTACTAAATATTTAACTATCTCAGTGTGTCCATTATGTGATGCTATACAAAGCGGTGTAACATTTTCATCATCATAAATATTGACATCAGCACCGTGTTCTACTAAATATTTAACTATCTCAGTGTGTCCCTTTTGTGATGCTATATACAGCGGTGTAGCATTTCTGACATTATAAATATTG